GGTAAAGTCTCAATGTTTCGTCTATAATCATTTGCATATATTCCAAGCTCTCAATGATCTGTTGTGTGATCTTTCCGCGGCTTTCATTAAGAGCATCGCAAACTTCTTTGCGTAGTCTTTCTTGCATTTCCGGGTTTTTTGCCAATTCATATAAAGCAAATGACATTGTAGTCGATGTTGACTCAAATCCTGCTATAAAAAATATAGCCGCTTGTGCCACGAGCAGGTCACCTTCAAATTTTAAATCATCTTGCCTTGGTTGGTTTTTGGTTTGATTTTTGAATTCTATCAAGATATCGATTAAATCGTGACGCTTCATTCCAGATTTCTCCCGCTCCTCCAATATGCGATTCATGGTAGATCGCAAAAATTCCGTTTGTTTTGTTGGTACGACTTTTGTGCGCAAATACGAAACCAAATACGGCAAGAAGAAGACAACACCTAAGTTCAAAGCTCGTCTAGTGCTAAAACGAAATATTTCACGACCGTTATGACGAAATTCTCCATTCGGATATTTAAAAGAATTCGCTTGTATACCGAAAGCTACAGTTGCAATCACGTCTGTGGTATATAAAGAGCAAAGTTCCTTAAGCTCCAGTTGGAAACTCTTATCGCCGTTTAAAGGCATTTTCAAGAGATATTCATTGAGATTAAGTCCCACTTCTTCGATTAGCGAACACATTTGTTTCAGTTTTCCACTTGTAAAGAAAGGAGTCAGCTTCAAACGTATTTCTTTCCAATAAGGATTTTTCAGAAAGAATAAATTCCGAGAGGCAAGAGGGTCACCAAAATAATCTGAGTTTGAGAACCGATTAGAAAATTTTGGAAAATCCCTACTTAGAATGCGTTTTATCAGTTCGGGATCGCGTAGCAGCAAAGCCGGACGATGAAAAAGATAAATACCAACGAAAGGACGATCTCCAGCTTCGGGATAGTTGTAGATCGCTTGTATCATATGAGCAGAAGTACATTGCATGCGCAGTAAACACCCTAAATTACCGAGTATAGGATTAGGTTTGACGTCGACGACACCATGACGCAACCAATACCGATAACGATACGTTAGGTAAACATATAGAAGCACTAATAACTGCAACACCAATCCTACGGTTATTGCGAACCACATTCTTTTAAAACAAAGAATTTATTACTAAAGTTTTAGGCAAATTTTGGGTCTTATATAAAGATTCGGTTATTTCAAAATTTGACCCTAATGACCATTTGCTATCTTTAATTATATTATTGACGGTTTGAGATATTTCTAAAAGACCAGAGGTTTATGCGCAGTCGTTCTCGCGTCATGTTATCTATTAAACTCTCCATTGCATTGATGCTATGGTCAATTGATGTTGATTTTGAGTTTTATTTGTTATTTTGTTGTTGTACAATTTAAAAGATGTACTCTTGGTACAGGAGTGTTTTAGTTAGCAGTCGCTGATGTTATATTACATAAGTATTCTGCCATTACTCCGTACATGGCACTCGGTATCTATATGTTAAGAAAATGCATTTTTATTAAGACAACAAGAACTGATTCATTTGTCATTCATTAAAAATATTCGCACATTTCAAAGCGTTCAATAAGAAGTGGTCAGTTCGAGAACTAAACAAACGAAAGCAAACAAAATTCATACATCAACTTTGAGTAGCTTTACCAGTTAATACCTAGTCTTCATGACGTGCGACGTAAAAATTTACGCATGCATCCCCCAGATGTATTCATCGAAAAAGAACGTATCCCTTCGTAAACTTTTTATTTTTACAACGAAACACAGAGCAATCTATATATCCAAAGGCATTCTGGTTTACGGCTGTCACAAGAATGGAAAGTTAGTTAATTAATTCTCACTTAAAAGCTTGAGAAAATGCAATTAAATCAGCGAATAAATTGTAAGTTTAAAGTTTTAAAGCATTAGCATCTAAGGCTATCGGCTTTATTAGAAACTCTACCGTACTTGAAATTTGAGTTGCTAGTGGAGACTCTTTGCCTATTCGGCCACTCGGCGGATCCTGAGTACAACTACCTATAACTTTTTGTTGTATTTTTTCACTATCTTTTTATCCACAACGATTTTCATCGAAACACTAGGCTTGCTGTTGCTTATTAATTCTTTAGCTTGAGTCCTTATAGGCTGAACTAGGTGCAAATTATATTGGCAATTAAGAGAGTCCTTCAAGCGGTGACCGAATTAAAATTTGTCGATAAATCTTCCATATTACTCCATTAGGATTAATTAGTCTGAATTGAGCAAAGGTTTTATAAAAGTTTAAAAAATAATTCAATAAATTAAATGAATAAAAATGACTTAAAAGGTTATATAATAAAATAGACGTTTGTCATCGAATATCCAAAACTAAGCGTTTTTGTCACATCATCTTTCTTATACGAAGGGTACAAAATGCACAAGACTATCTAGTCCAATCTTATCTCAACACGTTTATGGGTCACATTATGATGGAGGGGAGGGGAACAGAAACTTGGACCTAGTTTAAGCTCTTTCGGGTTTTGCGTATACCATAAAAAACTTAATGTATTCTTGCCACAAATAGCGTAGGGCCCTGGTGGGCTGGCGATCTCTATGCACATCTCTATGTTAATCTACACAATTGATTGGAGTACTTAATACACTACACTGGCCGAGCGAACGTGTCGAGCTTGCATTAGCACTAAAACTACCATGCGCGGTCGAAAGACCGTTTTTGAAATTTCGTTTAAAATTTCTCGCATACAACGTTACCGTATCATCATTTAGCTTATTGATTTTTCCTAAAATATAGATACAACCTATTTTTCAATATTTACAACTTTTTTATTGTTTATTTTCCGAAAACAAATTATACCATGTCTAGTCTACCACGAACGGTCATTTGACCGCTTGAAACATTTATGTTATTTACGACTATATTCTTCGATAATCGCATTCTTGAAATTGTTTTACGCGTCTACAATGTAATTATACACAACCTACAATCTAATCAATGTGTCTTACACGTAAGAGAATATACGGAATCAGAGGCTTTTCGAGTGTTGAAAACGAAATGGTATTTATCTATTGCAAAATTATATGCATTTATTGGACTTCTATATGCACGCGGCGCATATGAGGCTAAAACCATTAATTTATCATATTTATGGGAGACGAAATGGGGTCCGTCATTTTTCTCGACAACTATGAGTCGAAATGACTTCGTAGGAATCATGAGATTTATTCGATTTGACAACAAAAATCAACGAAGCCAACGCTTACGAAACGATAAGTTCGCATTGATTTCTCAAGTTTGGTATAAATTTATCGAAAACAGTCAAAGCTGTTATAAACCAGGAGCATATCTTTCTATAGATGAACAATTGTTTCCTACAAAAGCACGTTGTAGATTTACTCAATACATACGGACAAATTTGGCATAAAATTCTGGTTAGCTTCCGATGTAAGTAGTAAGAATATAGTAAACAGCTTTCCATATTTGGGAAAATATGAAGGGAGGGAATCACCAATCCCACTTGGGGAGTTTATAACTTTGAAATTAGCAGAACCATATACGGGCCATGGGAGAAACATAACAGTTGACAATTTTTTTACAAGCGCGTCACTAGCGAGTAAACTTCTAGCAAAAAGAACTACGCTTGTTGGAACTATCCGGAGAAATCAAAGAGAGCTAGCAAAATTAGCGAGACAGGCAAAGGATAGTAAGACACGCTTCTCCAGAATATTATACAAATCGAAAGATTTTACTCTTACAATTTATAAAGCTAAACCTAATAAAAAGGTATTGGTACTTCGTTCAATGCATTCGTCCGTTGAAATTGAAAGAAATGACACTCGTCTACCAGAGACAATTAGAGTTTACAATAGTACAAAATTCGGTGTAGATGTAGCCGATCAAATGGCCAGAAAATATAGTGTAAAATCTAAATGTCAAAGATGGCCTTTATAGGTATTTTTCAGTATCTTAGATTTAGCCGGGATAAATGCTTGGATTTTGTATAAAGAAAGGACGGGTGAGGAAATATCGAGGCATGAGTTTTTATTTCAATTGGCAGAGTAACTTGGGACCGAAAGAAAAACAGGTAAACAAAGAATGCTCATCAAAAACAATAATAAATACACATACTGTTTCCACTGAACGGAGATCTTGTCAAATAAGATATTGTAAAGTCAATAAAACAAAACAAAACCAAATTTGTAAAAGTAAATAAAACATACAACATCGAAAAGCGGGGAACGGGTTTTTATTGTAGCATCAGAAAAATATTTTGTTTACTATCTACTTTACTAAGATACATATGTTTTTTTGAAGCGGTCAGTTGACCGCTCACGGTAGGAATACATGAATGTCGGTAGGTTTAGTGTTAATTACTTAGATTTGGGCTAATTGTCGACGTAATTTTAAGTTGATTTGTGTGAACTCTTAATTTCAACTATAATAGAAAAAGGAGAAAAATAATAAGAATTCCGGCATTGGGGTAAACTCTTGAAATTGCAATTTTACTGTACTTAGACGAAGACAACATTGTAACATTTTTCCTTTCGATCTTTGCTGTTTAAAGTCCTTTTTTGGGCGTGTCAATGCAGGCCTTAAAGCCGTAAGTTGGATTATTTTTACTTCGGTAGTGTATTAGTACACCAATATCAACTACCCGTTTGAATGCATTTATGAACAAACATAAAATTGTAGTCAAACGATTACGTGCGGCTATCTACTTGCAAATATTCATAAAGAAAATTGAGTTGACACAAACTCTCTCTAGATCGCAATTAGTGTATAAACAGTAGATTTTATCGGTGATAAACATCTTTCATTTAATTGAATTAATTAATATTAGAGTTAATAATAAGTTACAAAAGAGAGTTCTTATTACATACTAAATACCCCTTGCCGTCCAGTACACTGAATAGTTATACGAAACTAAAATATTAGATAATCTTACTGTTAAACTTGTGTGCGTGTATTTGCGGTATTAAACCAATTTATTGTAATTATAGCATAATATATTTTTTTAATTCAATATTTTAACATAAAAGAAATAAATTGCTAAACAAAAATAGAAA